TGTTCTCTTCCTCACTCTGTTCATCTGCCAGATCCTGATGTAATACGTCGTTTTCGGGCAATTGAGTGAGTACGGGTAGTTCAACTTGCTCGTTTTCACTGCACATTTCAACAAAAATATAAGCTGCTAAATTAATAAATGTTTTATATATGGCTGTAATTTTTCACTTACAAGTTGTAATGTGATGATATTCCATGATGAACGTTTTCAGTTAGGTGATGACTACCGGATAGGTCACTTGTAAAATTAATATCCGGCCGGTACCCCCTATTAAATAAATGAGCGTTAAAATTTATTCAATACGCAAAAATATACATAATTAACACAAATGAAAATTGAAGTTTACCACTCTTCTTGTGAATTATGGAAAGCAAGGTATAAATTATTTTCTCGCTGCTCATTCGCCGACGGTGATAAATTTAAATCAAGAAAAATTCTTTCATCTGGAACATGTCCGGCAAAAACTGATCCAGAATAACCACCCGATGACTGGGGGTTATCTCTACTACGCACAACCTCATTTTTTGGAACGTCTTCGACCTTCACGTACATCTCCAACATTGTGATTACAAGAAATTCTCGGCATTCGTCCGGAGTCCTCAAGAAATCACTCAAAGTGTCATCATCGTCGATGTTAAACTCTGAGTAAAAAGCAACCCCTTGCGGCGTAACGGAATACGGATATCTTCCGGTTACTTTGAGTATCACTGAACGTTTTCTCACACTCATTTTTTTTGCATAACAACGATATCAATGTTTCGTACTCCATTGAAAGTGGCAATTTAACATTACACTTAGCAGGTAAACTGTAGCCCACGGAGTTATTCTCCATCACAACCTCACCCCTCCCAATATAATGATACTCTTATTCTACGTTCTTCAGACATAATGAAAAATGCTGGAGAATTTAACAACAATAGAAACCAACAAGAGTTAAAAAAAAAAATTTGAATAAAGTTGGGGCGATTCTACGATGTTTATATAGACAATGGCTATCCGGGTTATTTTTTTTTTTTTGTATATAGCGCCACAAAAAGTGGCTTTATACGCATTTAAATTATTGAACCCAGACATTATTGGTGGGGGTCAGGTATAAGGCATATAGTGTCACTATTAATGGTGTTATATAAGTTTGTCAGTATAACGCCACTAATAGTGGCGCTATATAGTAACGATACAGTTAACATCACTGTATAGCGCCACTTTTAGTGACGTTATATATACTTTGGTAATTTTTTTTACACTTATTTGAGTATTTTTAGTAAAAATAAACCATATTTTGGTTCCTCACTCTAACGTCAAAAGCACTTGCAATTCGTGCCAGACATTTGAGCGGCCCCTAAAGTCTAGTGAAAAATGGCGGCAAATTCCGAGCTCATGTCTTTTCGTTACTGTATTAGCCCATGACATAACGCGCCATAGTACAACGAAACAACGCGCCATCCTACAAAGACATAACGCGTTCGAATCACTCCTCTTATTGTCGCGTGGATATACTTAATACGGTTGCCTTCGGAGAGTCCATAGGTTTTGGAAGTCGTTCTGCTTAAGTTTGACCCCACTTTCCTTTTATTTCACCCTCAAATTTCACTAGAATTACAACTTTGCCATCCATTTCAGTTGCTATATAACCGTGCCCTCGATTATTTCTTATGTTTGCCGAAGTTGATATCCAACCGTTCAGTTACAAAATTTAGTTAAGAAATTCTATGGTTCAGACTAACAATGGAGTCATCAATGTCTAGAAGCAAATCGCATAATCCGAATCTGCACCACAACTGTCAGAGATCCATTTCACCCTCGGGTCGGTTCTGTTTTTCCACTATTTCTTCCTCCCCTGTTACTTTCTCCAGCTTCTCTACTTCAAGCTCTGATTTGTTTACCCGATCCACGTCCCCAACCCGGGTCAATCTTCGTCAATCAGCATCCCCTTCACCTTCCGTACGATTTTCCACCTCTCCCGGCCGTTCAATTTCTGCTTATCCAAGTTATCCACAGCAAAATCGACGGCCATTAGCGTCCAATCAGAAGAAGCATTGTATGTGTTCGCCAACAACACATCCAGGTTCATTCCGTTGTAACCTTCACAAAAATACTACTCAGAATCGCGGTCAGTCCCGGACGTCGTCGTATCACTCGAGTCATCAGTTGAATATGCGTAGATCAGCAATGACGAACTCACTCGTTAGAATTGGAACCGTGGAAGGTGACTTGTTAAAGAGAGCACTTGCTGCTTTGATTCGGCCCTCCTCTCATCAACTCAGGCGTAGAGACGATTTTCAGCCTCGGCTCAGCAGACTTTCTGCCATGTCAAAGGCCCAAGATTTGTAATAATGTACAGTTACAATACTGCACTTCCGGCATAAGCTGTTACTCTGTTCGGGTTTTTTTTTGTGAATTTTCAGGCAAAATCAACCCCCTCCCCAGCCAAGCAAAAGAAAAAAGAACCTTGTTTTTGTATACTTTGATTGAATTTGAATAGGTTTCAACGCATATATATTATAGTAGAATAAACGAATGAACGATTTTGTAGTGCAAAATGAGACACATATATTTTGTGGCTGGATTAAAAAGAAAATAGACTCAAATAAATTAAAATGGGGTATTAAAAAAGGAAACGAAATGAAACTAATATATCCTACGAAAGATGTGCTGATTTAACTTCTAACTCGCCAAAATATACAAAAAAAGGACTTCCAGCAGAGAAAGAAAAAGTATTTTCAGAGGAAAAAAGAAAAGGACTTGTGTGGTGCTCGGGCATTTGCCGGCATTTGTTTGTTTTTCTTTTTGTATGTTTATTCACGTCATCGTAATCTTCCAGATAAAAACAATACAAAAGCTAATTATATGCTGTTCTTATTCTGCATACACTTTTTTTCTTTTATTATCCACCCAAAACACAATAACAAGAACAATACAACATGGTAAGTAAATGAAAGGCAGTAATTCAATCTGTTCAAACTGTCTAATTTTTGGTTCTCTAATTTGTGATGATATAATTGAACCGCTAAGAAATGATTCGTTGTGCGATAAACTGAAATTATAGGGGGGCTGAATTATACTTCTTTCATTTTTAAGGTCCATGATATACTACTTGTTTTGAGAATTATTGCCAATGAACGAAATGCCAGCACATAGTAGCAGGTAGAGTTCAGAGTTGTAAAATTGGGCTTTTGCAGAAGCATGTAGCTGGGCCACTGTTTCAAGGAGATGGTAGTTAACACGGCCCAAGTGGGTGGAAATGACATCATGTAGCCACTTTTAAAGCATGATGTTTAAAATATATTCATAGTTTACAATGTATTTAAAGATTTGTCAATTTCACTCAAACTTCAGGACACGACGTCCTAGAATTTAAACATCAAAATTCAAACTTCAGGACAATGTGTTCTAAAGTTTGAAAATTATGTCCAGAAGTTCGAATCGTATGTCCTGAATTTTAAATTAGTAGTTCAGAAATTTAGGATACTTAGTCCTAAATTTCAAATTAGCAGCTCGAAAATTCAGGACACTAAGTCCTAAATTTCCAAATTCAGGATACTTAGTCCTGAAGTATGGGTGAATTGGCTAATATTTAAAGACATTGTAAATTATGGATATATATTAAATAGCGGGGTTAAAAGTGGCTATCGGTGCACTTCACCCAATTTTTTACTTGAGTAGGGGAGAAATTCAAAAATAGCCAAATTTAAAAGTGGCCATTCAAAAATAGCCACAGTTTCAAAAATAATTGAAATTTAGCCACTTTTTATGTAAAGATAAACCTAAAGGAAAACACTGTTTAAAATCCGAAAAATACTCCATTATAATATACTGCAATTCCAGTATAATATATTGGAGTTCCAGTATATTATATTGGAGTTCCAACATAAGTTTACTGGAACTCCAGTATATTCCAGTATAATGTACCGATCCAGCATAATATACTGGAGATTGGAGCATTGGTGCTCCAATCTCCAGTATGTTATACTAGAACTTTCCGCGTGTTGGAGTTCCAGCATAATATGCTGGAAGTTCATACACAGGTGCAACGATCTCCAGTATATTATGCTGAAACTTTCCGTGTTGTAGCAAAATAGTGACTATTTTTCAATAACTTTGTAAATGCTGACTATTTTTGAATGACCAATCCGAAAACTGGCTAGCTCGTACTATTTTTGCCTTGAGCAGACTTGTTAGACATGTAATTACCCATTTTCCCAAGAGGACCTCACTGGTGAAACCCAAAAAATAACTTCAATGTAAAAAGACTTAACACATGTAAGAGACTCCCATAGAATTAGTAGCGTACGCCTCCAATTGGCTCTACAATTTAATATGCTGTATTTACTCCTATAAGTATGCCTCTGTGCAACCACAGAGAGATCAGATCAGTCCCAATAGTAAAGAATGTGAAATCATTAACTAGGATAAGCAGTTAATCCAGGATCAAATTTTAAGTAATTAATTAATACAGTTCAAGTAAATCTAAAGTGAAGAGTTCAATTACTAATACATACTCAAGTCGGTTTCAAGTTTTGAAACATTGCATCCCACCTAATCTCTTCATCAATCTCATTCAATATCTCTTCATTACAAAACCCCTCAAAATGGGAGCTAGAAGAACTGCTAATTAAGGCATCAGAAAAATCTTGAACCAAAAATGGACTACCATTTGTGAGCATCAATATTCTTTTATCTGGTACAACAACAGGAGTTTCCTCTTTAGCTGCTGTCGAACGCCTCTTATTCTTCTTCAACATGGCTTCCTTCCATCTTGAACTGTAATTTCTCAACCACACTAAGGCAAAAGTACTCGAATTTGATCGAGTAGTCCACATTTTCATGCGCTTAGTAAAAAGTTTCTTTGTTTGCTTGATGGCTAATATTAGCCATAACATATGATTTCTTGAGCTTTTACTCTTCTCTTTCCTAGCAAGTTTAAGTATTTCTAGCCTATGTTTGGCCACAGAAATGCCCATACTTTGTAGAAATTCATGGTTGAAGTAAGCTATGTCATCTTGTACAAGCTCATTGTGTGCAAAAATAAGGGCATATTCATAAACAAGAGAAGGGTCGAGGCTAGTTTTGGAGAGCCATGAAAACCAGTCCATGACCACGTAGTAGCTACTGATAAATGTTGGACAAGCACAATTTAAAGAAATTGATGGCCAAATTAAAGGGCATGTATTAATAAGTCTTGGTTTAAATGGTACGGTAGTTGAACTTTGAGAGTGACAAAAGAGGAAGGATCGGTGAGATAGTTAAGACTCCAATTTATTCTTTGCAATAATGGATCGGAATTTGATCAGACTTTTAATACTTAGGGGTTGTTTGGTACGCAGACTAAATTATCTCGGAATTATAATTCCAGAATTAATTTATATCACATGAGAGATGGGATAAAATAATTTATATTTGATGGGATAAGGTGGGATATCCTGAATTAAATCTGGGATTAAATTTATATCTTATTTGGTTGGAGGTATAAATTTATCTGCCAACCAAATGCAATATAAATTTGACCCCATATCTTATCCCACTTTATCCCTCGTACCAAATGATCCCTTATAAAAATGAAGCCTAATAAAGTTTTCTTTTTCAGTGGGGTAAGGTGTAAGGGGTGGGGGTGCGGGTTCTTTGCCATCAGTCACGGCTTAAAGAAGGTTATGTTATGGACTTCTTGGTCACTGTAGCAGAAATTTTTCTTTCATAACTCTTGTCCTTTTCCAAATAAAACAAAAGGAAAAGAATGAGAATTAGGATAAAAGGATTGGAAATGGATAATTCAACAGTCAACAATTAACCATATATATTTTTTAAACTAATGCTTGGAAATTAGGGTGAGCTAAACAAATCCACAAGATTTTGTAAGATAATTGTATGATTAAAGTCCTGGTTTGGTTGGAAAGCTTTCCTATGCGATTTCTAACAACTCCCAGCTTGTTTGGATGATCGTTATTGTTACTTTAAATACAATGTTTATTTTGATTGTTACTTAAATTTTATTGTATCGTATCATTAAATTCGTCGTTACATAACGACGTGTGCCACTTTATGTAATGACCGATTTAGTGTGATCGCGTCGTTACCTTGTCTTTTTCTCTCAATCTCACTCTCTATTATTATTAAATTATTTTATTTTATCATTTATCCTACCTTTTTATATAGTAATTTTACGTTGTATCATAATTTTTCTTTATAATATTGCTAAGTTTATTCTTCATATTGCTGGTGCGTGATATCATGAAACGATGGCAAACGACACAATCTATCCAAACATTGTATTTATCAAACGATACAGTACAATACAATACAGTATGATACGATACATTATGAAACGATGCGTAATAAGCATTCAATCAAGCTGTTAAGAATTTTCCTCATTAGCCACCAGGGTTGCTAGATTTCGTTTAATTTTTATATTGTTGATCATTCTTTATTTCTTTTCTTCCTTTTCACTTTTTTTTTAATGACTGATGAAAAATGTCATAGATGCTTGCTCAACTTTTATTTTATTCCATCAAAGTTATTATACTATTTTTTATACTGAAAAAAATAAGATACTGAAGTATCATAAAAGTCATTGAACAAATATAATGTTGTAACAAACAAAATTACTTAACTTTTAAGTATAATACAAAGTACGTCGTTTATTTTCTCTTGGTTTTTAATACTTGCATAAACATCCCTCAAAACCTAGTCCAAATACCTTCTGCCATATTTTGGAGGGTATTTCTATAAATAACTAAAAAAATAGAAATTATGCAATACTTTAATACACCAAGTCAAACAGGAAATAAGAAATAATTTTAACATAACTAATCCCAGCATTATTAATACTTATATTACTAACCATATTCATCATTATTATTCTTTTGTTCATTATGAACCCCTTAGCTTCATTTTCTATGAAATGTAAAATAAGATAGAAGTTTAAAGAAAAAGACATGTGATCATATAAAAAGTACCCATGAATTTATAGTATTAAATATGCCTAATATTCCCCTATTTCTAAAATACTTTTGTTACCAATGTTATAAATATGTTACTAAGGATAAAAAAAATAGACTCATGTTAAGAAACTTAACTCAAAGTAATAATATAAAATTAAAAAATAGACAAGAATGTAGGGAGCAAGGAAGGAGAGTTCTTTTATTTCTTCCATGTATTCAAGTATGTACAATATCACTTCATCCTCTATTTATAGTATTACATAGAGGTATACAAAAAAATGTCATAAACATGACATTAAACATTTGAGATCATGGAGGAAGATCATGGGGAGGTTATGGGGGTACGGGAGTTACAACCATAATGGTAAGAAGCAGTGGGATGTTAATGGAGAAGAGTAGTGGGTGTTATTCATTTAGGAGTTATGTACATCCACCATAATATAATATTTCATAACACTCCCCCTTGGATGTCCATAAATATTGTGCCTCGTTAAAACCTTACTAGGAAAAATCCCCGTGGGAAAAAAATTCTAGTGAAGGAAAAAGACACATATCTAGTACAACGCATTGCTTGCTGCCTCATTAAAAACCTTATCATGAAACCCTGTGGGATAAAACCTTGGCTAAGGAAAAAAGAGTGTAGCGCGTGCTATACTCCCCCTGACAAAAATATTACTTGATATTTCGGAGACGATGAATTCCAATCTAATATAACAACTTCTCAATTGCTGAGGTTGGCGATGCCTTGTGAAGAAGTTTGCCAAATTATTACTTGAACAAATTTGTTGAACATCAATCATGTCTGAAATAGAACTTTGGTGAAATACGTTTTACTTTGTCTCCTTCGATAGTCAATTGAGCTATGCATGCAGTATCATCTTCAATGCAATTGGAATCTTGTTGAATATCATAATATGGTAGTACCATCACAGCCAAATAACAACGAACCATGCCCTGCATTTGTATAACCAACATAACCTTGACAATATTTGTTAGAATAAATAAATCTATATCAAGGACTTCTTTTGCAATATAATCCTTGTAAGCACGTGATTTTTGCTCTATAAAAGAATTACTCCCAAAAATTCAAAATAAAACGATTTTCCTTGATGTGCAATTTTGAGAATTTTTGTGACATTTTTGGATAATTATTTGTATTTGTCTGTGCATGTTTATTTGTTAAATTGATAAAAATATGTCGCATTTGCATTTAATATTTAATTCTGCAGTTAGGAGTAGTTAAGTTTGTTTTACAAAATGAAAAAATCATAAAATATGTATTTTTGTATTTTTAGCATTTAATGTCCAATTGTACAATTTTATGCTTAATTGGTTTAATTATATATGATATCTGTCGCTAGAAATTAATTAGTATTTTTGATAAGTTAATTTAGTTTATAACTTAATTTAGAATTTTAGTTTTATTAATTAGAAAGTAAAAGAAAATAGAGCAAAAAATATAAAGAAAATCGGAATTGGGCCTCTTCTTCAATTTCAAACCACAGGCCCAAAAAATACCCAACCTTCCCCATGACCCAGTCCATTTCAGCACGGGTCGACCCATTCCGCCCCATAACCCCAAATGACCTAACCCCCCCTAATCCTCATTTTTCATTTCCTAAACCTAAACCAATCCCATTCGCCCCTCTCTTTCTCTCTTCTCCTTCACCATCTCCAAAACTCCAAAACACACATCCATGGCCGCCCCTTTCACACACACGCACAACCCCTTCCATCGACCACCCTTCACCAGTCGTCTAACCTCCATAGCCACCGGACAGAGAAGCAACGAACACCATAGCCATCTGTTCGTTGCCTCTGCTTCGTCAACCACGAACAGCCACAGCAACAGCCTTCACCCCCGTTTCCCGTCGTCAACCACCTCAAACGACGACCATGACTGCCTGAAATCGGCGACCACCAGCAGTCCGCACTCCAGCCATGGACGTGGGGTTTGCTTCTTTATGCTCCACCAACGAACCTTCCCACCTCGTTTCTGCTGCTTCTGCTACGTCCAAACAGACCCCGTCGCTGCTGCCTCATCTTCTTCGTCTCTGTCGAGCTCGAGCCCGAGCTCCCATGGCTTCCTCCGCTCACCACTGCCATCCCCGAGCTCATTTTTGTCCATCCAAACGACCAGCTCCGCCAACAAACCTTTTGCTGTGTTGCTGCTACCTTAGCCCCGTCCAGCATCTGCTTCTGTTGCGTTGTTGCTGCCACGTCGAGCAGCTGCTTCAAAACCAAACCCCATCGTTGCTGCTTCACTTTTGTTTTCGTTGCCTTCAGTCCAAAACCAAAACGAGACCTCACCATTTCGTTTGTTCGAGCTTTGGTCGGGGTCGTCGAAACAGTTCATACGAAGTCGAGGTCCGGATTGTTAAAGATTTTAAGGTCCGTCTCATCTTCCTTTCTCATTTTATGATCTGTATGTGAGTAAGATAAGAGCCGCTAAAATCTGTTTAAATATTATGGGTTAAGGAGTTTGAATCGTTCTTGGATTGAATCTTGGTTGTAAGAAATTCATTGAATTCTGTTTAGTTGAATTTAAGTTCGATTGGTTTGTCATTCGTGATTATTAGTTGTAGAATGTATAGTATCTTTGTTAATATTGAGTTGGTTCGGATAATTTCGTTTTATGTATTGTTTGGTTTCCTGCTCTTTGTTGTTCATCATATGATTTCAGTTTGCATTTTCGATTCAGTTAATTGTGATTCATGTTGTTTCAGTTTACTTTTGTTGTTAATATTGTTGTCTCCTTGCTCATTCATTTTTTGTCTAAGTTAACCAGGATTGGTTCCCAATATGGTTAACTTATTCTCATTAATTTGATGTTGTTCAATCTGTGTTCATGAGATTTGTTGTTTGAATTTGTTTAGAAATTGGTTATATTTGATGTATTTTGGTTGGAATTGATTAGGTGAATTGGTTATAGCTGATGGGGGTAGATTGGTAAATTGCAGTACGTTCAGGGGTAAAATGGTAATTTCAGTAAGGTCGAAGGGGTATTTTTGGAATTGAACATTGAACAATTATTTAATCTAAGTGCTCTGTCCACTAGGCATTAACAGTATTAAAATAGTACATGGTGAGGGACAAGACATAAGTTAGTGGGGAGGTGATATAATTGTTTAATATAGTGGGGGAATAATGTAATTATTTAAGTTAAGCATGGGGGAC